ATTGAGTTCTTTTCCCTTTGCCTGAAGCTGCTGGGTCAGTGTCTCGATGATCTTCTGTATCTGCTCCTTGTTATTCTCCAAGGCGGGCAGCACCTCTTTGACAGTCCGCTCCACAAGCACACCTCCAACCATGCGGAAGCACTTGCGAGTCTCATCTACCTCCTTCAGTGTGTCGATCACTAGGCTGTGCTCATTCAATTCCATCTCCAGCTCAGCGGCTTTAGATGCCAGGCCCCGCTGTTCCTGGCGAAGGCGGTTGAAGCCAGCAATTACCTGCTCGGCCGACACCGCCCCCTTCCCCGCGCCGCTCCAGCTGCTCTTGCCGGGTCGACCACTGTTCTCCGCCATCTTCGCCGCCTCCCCTCCAGTATTTATTATTGGTTGACATCTTGATGATAGTCATTCTTTCTGGGGTGAGATGCAATCTCAGTATTGCTTTAGTTTGCATTTCTTTTTTAAAACATATTTTTCTTTTTAGTTCATTTATTTATTTGTTTGTTTTGTATAGGGTCTCATACACAACTCTGACTCATAGTGATCCTACAGTCTTAACCACCCCAGCGCTGGGTTTACAGGTGTGTGCCACCACACCCGGTTTCAGTGGTTGGCACAGCATAGTACCGGGCATCAAATCTGGGTCCTTGTTCTTGCCAGACAGGCACTTAAACTGCTTAGCTATCTCCCCAGCCATGCATTTCTTGAATGACCAATGATGTTGAACATTTTTCTCATGTATTTATTTGTCATTTGTATTTCTTTCTTTTTTTATTTGCACCCATGTTTATTGCAGCACAACTTATCATAGCCATTTGTATTTCTTCATCTGAGAAATATTTCTTCATCTCAAATGCCCATTTTTTGATTGGGTCTTTGAATTTTGGGGACCTTTTTAAATTCGTATTATGTTCTAAATGTCCTCTTTCTGAGACACAGTTGGCTAAATTTTTTTCCAATTCATGGGTTTTCTGAAGGGAGAAACAGAAAATTGATAGGGAAGGAGCAGTGGTCAGCAGACTGTACACACTCAGATCAGTAAGATAAAGAAAAGAGATCTTCCAGATAAAGAGAATCTGAGCCACTTGTTTCTCAGTTAGAAAACATCAAGTATGTCTGAATAAACTGTTGACAACATCACCATGCTCAGTCCCACAAAGGATCCACGTCAGCCTACACTAGAGTCAGGAGATGAGGAAATACAAATGCAATGCAGCTTTAGATGCAGTTTGGTGGTAGGAAAGGGAAGAAAAAAAACCTTCACAAGCTTTTCACAATTGTAATAAAATACCTGTCATAAACACCTTAACAGAGGAAAGATTTATTTTGGTCCACCTTTCAGAGGTTTCAGTCTAGTATATGCTGGCTTCATTATATCTGGGCCTGGAGTGAGGCAGAACATCATAATTAGAATGGCATGGCAGAGCAAAGCTGCTCACCTCACGGTGGCTGGAAGAACGAGTATGGAAGAGGCCAGGGATGAGACATATCCTTCCAAGGCATGCCCTTCTCCCCTGACATGCTTTATCTCATGTCTTGTCACAGCCCATTTAGCTATGAACTCATCAGTAGACTAATGTATTGATTGAGTTAGTGTCCACATGATCTAGACCCTATTTCTGAACATTGCTACATTGGAAATCAAGCTTTTAACACAGCCTTTTGGAGAGTACACTAAATTCCAGCCACAACACATCTGATCTGGGAGGTAAAGGTGGCTTTATTTTTGTTTATTCACAAATGACAGCTTGAGGTATTCTGTTTGGCTCATTTTTTATTTAAGGTTTATATCTTAAATTGATTATCTTGTATCTAGATTTTTGTTACTAAAAAGTAAAGTAGTTCTGCTGGATTTCCTTTCATGTAATCTACTTGTATAACTTAATTACTTGTTCTTTTCTCTTCATCTCCCACTCCTTTTCTCTTCCATATACATTAGGGACTTTTGATTGTTAATTACAGTGTATGAGACCCTGGGAGCCCTTTCTGGCAGGTTTTTATATTTTGGGTGGGGGACAGAGACAGAAACAGACAGATATATATATA